CCCCCTCCGTCTCCTCTTTTCTAAGCTGAAAAGTCCCAGTCTCTTTAGCCTCTCTTCATATGGGACCTGTTCCCAACCCCTGATCATTTTAGTTGCCCTCCCCTCTCCCAGCCTCTCTCTTCCCCTCTCCCACCTCCTTTTCCCAGTCTCCCCCAGTTTTGTTCAAGAAAGACAGATTCCATTTTTGAACAGAATTGTCCTTTATTTTGTACATCAAGAAGAGGGGCTAGGGAAGGGTAAGTGGAAGGTGGTGAGGGAGGAATGGGGTACGCATCCCCGATGGGGAGGACTGGGTGGCTCTGCGGGCTTCTGGGGGTGGAAGCTCTCCTGCAGCCCCCCAATTGTCCCCTCTCCCCAGATGGCAGCCTGCGGCAAGTGCAGCCGGGCCGATGGCCGAGTGCTGTGATGTGCCCAGTGTGGGTACTCCGGGCAATCCAAGCCAGGACTGCTTTGCAAGCGGGGCACCCCTGAGAACTGTCTTTCCGGGGTGGGGGTCGGGACCCTTTAAGCACAGCCCTCGGCTAGTCTGAGACAGCATCTCCACGCTCTATGTCCTCCTCTGATGCCCTGCCAGCACTGCTTCTGGCCATCCTTAACCCCGCTTCAGGGTCCACTTAATGTGGACGTTCTAGTTCAAATTAGCAAAATGTTAATTCGAACTAGTTTTTAGTTCTAGATGCGTTAGTTCGAATTAGCTTAGTTCGAATTAACTAATTCGGACTAAGTTAGTTCGAATTAGCACTGTAGTGTAGACATACCCTGTGATAGCAGTGCTCCCCATAATAGCAAGATAACAATTTTTTATAAGATAGTTATAGAAAAAGTGGAAAATGTAAAGGTAGGGTCAAGTGTGGGGCTCTCAGTACTTTTCAATTTATGTGCATATCTTGTCATAAATTTCAAATATGATAAAAAATGCACTATTTGTTACGTTTATTGAATATATTGTTCCATGCAAGAGTGAGAAAACCTTGCTATCAAACTCAAAATGTAATATTTAGGCAGTGTACTTTATAGACTGTATGTAATGATCTTGTACTAGGTGCTATTTTGACTTCTATTGCTATGTATATTTACTCCTGATAGCAGTCTCTATTACTTGTAAATCAAATTACCCTTGGGCTGTGTCTACACTGGGCCACTTATTCCGGAAAATCAGCCGCTTTTCCGGAATAAGCTGCGAGCTGTCTACACTGGCCCTTGAATTTCTGGAAAAGCTACAATGCTCTACTGTACAAAATCAGCCGCTATTCCAGAAAAACTATTCTGCTCCTGCTCGGGCATAAGTCCTTATTCCGGAACACTGTTCCGGAAAAGGGCCACTGTAGACAGCCCAGTAGTCTTTTCCAGAAAAAGGGCTTTTCCGGAAAAGCAGCCTGCCAATGTAGATGCTCCTTTTCCGGAAAAACTGAAAACGGAATAGTATTCCGTTTTAAGCAGTTCCGGAAATTCATGCCAGTGTAGACACAGCCTTGGAGTAAAGAGCAGAAAAGATAGCTTGCCATTCTTTATGCACAGTTTACTATGGGTAAAATTCATTTGTTGTGTGAATTGCCAATATAAAGCTCTTTACAGTCATTGTTCATCACCCTGGAGCTTCCTTAGTCCTTGCTCACTCTGTTTGCTGTGGAAGTGGTCTCTTTACTGGCTGCACAGTGAAAGCTGAGAGAGGAATGGCTGAAAATAAGCCAGAGGACCTATATTTATTCAAGTGGTGCAGACATTCTGCTCTAGTGCATAGGGTGGGGAGGGCTGTGCTACAATTCAGTGGCTTGGGAGCCAGTGTGTGGAGGTGCATGTGATTGCCTCAACCTGAGTGGCATTTATGCTTTGGTTTTAGAACAAAAATATATATTTCATGGACTTTGAAAAGAAAATATAGAGCAAAAGGTAGGTCAAATTTGGGGTCTCCCAATTTTGACAGTGCCCTTTTAAATGTAAAGAAGATAAGAGACCATAAAAGAATCACCTTTTAAAATATGAATAAGTAATGGAAATCCAGCATACATGGGACAAATAATCTCTGTTCATAAGTAGGCAGTGGAGGAGTCACTGTTTGACCTCCTGACATTCTAAGTACATTTTATATTGTCAACACACAGATATGGAATGATCATGGTTTTCTCAAGATTAAGAAAGAGGAAAGTCTGTGTCAGGAGTTCTTGGAACTTTTAATTTGGATATATTAACAGTGGGAGGTTTTAATAGTTTCTGAACCAGCTCTTGTTATTTGGTTTTTTTTTTTTTTAAAGCCCATTTTACTAGAACATTGAAAATAATCACTTACACTAACAGGATGAAGCCATGACATATTGAAGAAAATATGCAAAACTGCCAGTTACCTCTATGAGAGCAAGTAGGAGCAAAAGGAATGCCAATGAAGTCAATAATATTATACTGGTAAAAAAGCAGTGTAAACGGAAGACAATTAGCCCCACAATATTCATCTTGGAAATGTAGAAATACTTGTGATTTCTGTTCACGATTTTCCCAAACCATGTTAGTTGACAGCTAAACAGACACCATTCTGCAGGCAATGCTTATATCATCTTACATACCGCCAGTATTGTTAGAAATAGTTGACTATTTCCTGGAATAGGAAGGAATTCCTCATTAACTATTCTCATTAACTATTCTAATAATTTTAATTATTTTTGCATAGAACTATTTTTGTTCTGGTGTGACCCTGTGCAAAATAATGTTGGATGAAGACTTGTAATGAGGGACAAATTAAGTAACATTAGTAGAAGCATGTTGAAATACAATAAAATTTAGGAAGCAAATTATCTGCTGGTTAAATGGACACAGTTTTGATGGAGTTTTACTTAGTAAAACCAGTAGAAAATCTGACATATTGAGGAAAATCCTGGCCCAATGGAAGTCAATGGCAAAATTCATATTGATTTCAGAGTCAGGATTTCGCTAATGTATTTAATAGTAACCATTTTTCTTGAAGCTTCATTTAATCATTCATCTGTTCTGATGTAAACAATTTCCAGTGATAAAGGGATAGTTGCGATCTATGGGAAATGATTCTTTTAAAGCACAAGAGGGACAATCAAAAGAATAGACATCTTGAAAATTATCACAGTTGATGTCTGCATATAGCTGTGCAATGAATAATAAATTAGTTTCTTCTTAGTGCCATATCCATAGTAGACTTTGATTTTTCTATAGAACATATGGGTTAAGAAACAATACAACTTACTTATTTCTCTTGCTTTTGGTGTTATGATCATCACTTAGTTCTTGTCCAGAGGAAGTATCACTTTTATCTGCTAAAGAGAAATACATAAAATTGAAATAACTAGACAGTTACTATCTACACAAAAATAAAAGTCCTAGATGTCTCCCTTCACTTGTCATTTTGTTCTGATACTACTCATATTTGCTAGTTTCTGCTATTTTTTTTATTCTTTTAACATTAGAATATACATTATAAAATCCTCATAGATGAGCTTATCAAAACAGAGTAGTCAATACCAAAAATTGACAATTTTCTTATTTTTGCCCCGAAGAGCTTCTCACTGTAAATTTGTGATTTTTTAAATCACATTTGCCTGAACAACTGAAAAATAAAACCACAAAGTTGTTTATGTAACATTGTTATTTCAATGCTAACATAGTGACTTATTTGAGGATGTTCACTCCCATCACAACAGCTTCATTTTTCCTATTTTTCATTCCCATGTTACTGAAACACAATGCTGCTTTCTCATTAAATCTGACACACCGTATCGGTATGGAAGCAAATTTAAGCGGATTTTGTGGAATCTCAAACTACAATATACCAAAACCAACTTTGACCTGGATATTCTCCCAAAGAGGACTTTGAGATGGGGTTGTGATTCATAATGAATGTGAAGGACATCTATTTTTACAACTTCAAGTACTTCATTGTTTTCTTTCCAATAGAAATTACATTCTCCAGCTTAACAGTGCACTGAATTCAAATGCACTGGCTTCCAGAGTTTATTTCCACTCAATGCCTAGGCTGATTTTTGGAGTTTTAAGCAGTTTACAGGAAAATATGATATATGTGCTGAGCTCCTAGTATATTTAAACAACATAAAGACAAACCCTGCATAGACTGCCAATCCTGCAATTATTCATAACATGGACACAGAGCATTATGATGGGATAAAAAAAACCAACAATTTTATTTGTGACTTTAAACATAGATTTTAATCCAGATTTGCTGATCTACCACCTTTTAGTGATCCTTAGAGTATAATCCTATCCCTGCTGAAGTCAGTGGCAAAACTTTGACTTCAGTGACTTATCTCAGAAGCCTAAACTATGAAATCATACGCATATTAAGGTGTTAATTAAACTCTGTTTAACAATATGCATTACTGAATTATTTTAAACCAATAAGTCCTGTGTATTTGTTTTACATATTAAATTTATATTATGTATCCAATCCTACTTATATTGAAGCCAATGGGATTTTGGTGTTTTACTTCAAAGGGAGCTGTTTTTGTCACTAGAGCCAGGTGATTTAAGAGTCCAGGGCTGGTGGTGAGAAGCTACCCCCAGCCCACACCTTTTACCCATGCTTTCCAGGAGGGCCTGGATTACCCCCATCTACCTCTCCCAGGGGCTCAACATTGTTGTCCTCAGTCCTGGGAGATATATACTAGGTCAACATTATTTAAATTCTGCTGACTACAGAGTACCTTTTGGGGAAATAGCAATGAATGGCACTCTAAAATAAAAAGACTATATCCTCATAAATACATCAGCACAAGTATTATGAATATACTTTTATATATGGTAATGAACCTGAGTAATGTTTTCAGTATCAGTACAATGCATGAAGACAGTTATCCATAGTGTTAAATTCTTCAAAAGAGATAGAAGACTACATAGAAAACAATCTGGGGATTCGGAAGATAGAGTAAAAGAATATCGTCTTGATATTTTAAAGCTATTAATCAGGAGCTATTCATCCTGCTGAGACAGCAGTGATCTTAACTTTAATAAATTCCTAGGAGAGTAATATGTAATCTTTTAACAGCATACTTGATGTTGCTTTCAAAGAGAATTCAAGTTAAAAATGACCTGAGGTTCAGGGCTGATTGGGCTAGCACAATTCTATTTCTATAAAATGGCACCACTAGTAAAAAAGCCACACTCAGCAGGCATCAACACCAAATAAAAATCAATTGTCTCTTATCTGAGTTCATTTAGCTTCTCCTCAATGACTTTATCATTTTTCAGTGCTCCTTTAGCATCTCAATCATCCAAGAGCCCTACTGGGTTGTTTAACAGGCTTTCTGCCTCTGATACACTTAAAAAACATTTAGTATTACTTTTTGAGTTTTTGGCTAACTGGTCTTCAAACTCCTTTTTGGCTTTTCTAATATATTTTATACTTAATTTGATAACGTTTATGCTTCTTTCTGTTTTCCTCTTCATGATTTGACTTCCACTTGTTAAATTATGTCTTTTTATCTGTCGCTGCTTCTTTTACTTGGTTGTTAAACCACAATGGCACTTTTTTGGTTCTCTTACTGTGTTTTTAAATTTGAGGTATACATTTAAGTTGGGCTTCTATTATGGTGTTTTTTGAAAAGTTTCCCATAACCTTGCATCTGATAAAACTAATTTTGAAAACCAAAATAAGCTCATAATCTCAGTAGCCGTTCCTGGAAATCCACTGAGTGATCATTTCTTCTAGTGCATTTACATATTCTGATGATCTGGGCGGTTTTATGACTTTGGATACACAAATCCAATTAGACATATGTTTCTGAACACACTGTTCTAATAGATAGAAAGTTCATTGCCTACAGAAATAAGATGACAAAAATCCTCATACATCTTTGAAAAGAGAAAGGGATATTATGGTTGGTATCTGATCACAATATGATAGAATAAAGATATACAGCACCAATAAAATAGTGCTATGGTCATAATGAGTAATGGCTGAAGACTTAGAAGAAATCTAAGGATATGTCCTCCTATCTGAATAGTCTGATTTGGAAAAGTTAGTCTATAAATTGGCCATGAACTTTGCTGTTAATGTTCATATGTGCCTGTAAGGATCAGCAGGACACATGCCTGAAGGGTTACTAGGTATACAGCAATCCCACATTGCTCTTTAGCACCAGCTATAACCTGAGGAGTGGAGAATGAGGTCTTCAGTCTAAAAGCAGCTGAATGTACTGGATTAAATCATAGTTTCCTTACCATGTTCTTACAAATACTGCTATTAATTTCAGAGACAATGGAAATTTTGCCCATCTTTGGACTGAGAGAAATGGCTATGTATGAACCCATTAATAAAGAATCGTGACACTCTCATAAATCTCTGTAGGAATTAATTTCTTAGAAGATGTGGAATAATTGATAAATGCCTAATCTTTCATTCATTCCTGAACTACAATTGCACTTGATCTTTCAGCAGAGTGATGTGCTGATAACCTATGATACACTGATTAATTATTATACTTGCTCACATTTTGGTGTGCCTTTGATTTACGAATTGTAATTAAATCCAAGAATAGCAACTAAACTAAGTACAACTGGCAACTACCTCACAAATATGTAGTTCATCTGATTTATTTATTTACTCAAGATTTTGAACTAATCAATATGCTGACTAATAATTTATTTGACTTCATCAGCTAATATACACTAACTGTAACCTGGTTTTAAGAAATACTCATATAAATCCCATTTAGATTAATGGAAGCTGCAAATGATTAGCAACAATGAAAATCTAGTCATAATTCACCAAAAGAACCTCACACAGTGGTCAAGGCATGTCACATACACAATAGAATATAAAGAATAGAAAAGAAATTGTTTAGATAACATGGACCAACAGTGACCTTGACACAAAGACATTTTGAAGATTAATGATAGGTTATGAATAATGGCCCTCAGTCTTGTCTTGGGTTATTACCCACATCTACCCAATCATTAATTAATCCTCCAGAATGCCCTACACATTCATATTATTGCTAAATAAAACGTATGTTGCATTGTGCTTCTGAATCAGAACTTCAATTTTGGTTGTGGAGCCTAGGTTCACTCTGTTAATCAGAAAGTTATCTTTTTTATATGAAGAAAGGTTTTAGTTTCTTCCAAGTCTCTTTTAAAATTGAATTTATAGCTATAAAGACAAGAAACTCATCTCTTAAATGATGTTAGGTGATACAGAAATATATCCCCTACAGTAATCATCTATGGAATTTTTTCTATCAAATATTTATAACAAAGGTCCTGATTATCATTTACTCACATCAGCTTGCAAGAACACCTTTCGATATCCTCAGTTCATCCTCACAACTTCTGTTTAGGAAGAGTCCACTGAGAATTGTTTGTGAATCAACAATATACACTGTGTCCTGTAAAATTTATATTTTTCCCCACTTTCACAATAGAGAAAAAACAAATCTCACTTGATAGAACTTGATGGCAATTATGGGGGTTGTTTTAACTTATTTGCATAATATTATATTTTCCAAAATAATGTTTAAAATTAAACTCATCACTTCAACATAGGCATGGATTAAAGGTCACAAGTGTAACTCTAATATGAAATATGTTATTCAATCCATATGTGCTGGTGGTGATTATTCCCCAAAGTAAACAGCTAATTACAGTGTTTCAGGTAATTGATCTGCATGTAGATCTTTTCCTAACAAGGACAGAAAAGTTGCCTAGCAGTCCTGAGCAAGAAGCTACACTAAATGGAATAGAACCCAGTAGTAGCCCAAAGTAGAAAGGTATCAATCTGTCAAAGAAGATTTTCTTTAGGGAGAAGTACTTACTTTTATGAGGCTAAATATCTGATGTAGGTGGAGACTGAGGACCCAGCTCATGTCACTGAGCAAATACTGACATGAGTTGTCTCAGTGGAAACCACTCATATAAGCAGCCACCAATGGGAGTAATTGATGCACTACTAGCGGGCTGAATGAGCAATTAAATAGGGGGTGGGAAATTAGACATTCTGTGAGTGATCTGTGATCAGGAAAGCTGAATGAAGTGGATGGGATGGGTTAGAAATTGGCAGAGCAAATTAGTCCATCAAATTGACCTTCTTGAAGGCACACAAGATGGCAAATGGTGGTTCTCTAAGAAGTAGTCGTTTTAAAAATACATTTGAAACACTTAAACATGCTCTACTTCAAAGCTAGTTCTCTCTTCAGTCAGCACCAAAAATGTCATTCAGAAATATTCAGTGTTTAAGGGTTGATTGGCAAAGCCATGTTGGGATTGAAATACCCACATGTCTGCCAAACCTTTTAGCAGTCCTTTGAGATTTAATTTTGGGATTATTTTCTTACAGCTGGGTTAAATAATCATTTATTACTGTGCAACTGCTTTTGGCAGCATGGTCAGTAAAACATTTGCAGAAACCATGCTATGCTGACACATTCCTAATGTATCTCTTGAAAATGTAAGTGCATTGAAAATAAAGACAAAGTCTTTGAAGCTGTTATTTTTAAATATAAGAAAATTCTTTCAGCATAGGAACCTGCCTATTTTTTTACTTCTTTGTTAATAACGAGAGAACTCCAGAACAAAAGGTTAGAATTTCAGTGTCAATAAAGATGTTGTAACCAGCATCCTATTAACAAAATATTTTACACAAAAGTCCACAAGAAAATCATCATTCTGATTACAGTTACCTAAATTTTTACTTAATATATTTAATGATCAAGTTTAATTGAGCATTTGATTTTAAATAGATGCAAATAATCACAGCTTTAGTTACTTGCTGAAGTTTCCAGTTTGCGTTTATGAGGTGGATCTTCAATTATTCTATTAATATCACCACGATTCTTTAGATCCACTGGTTTCTCCCATACAGACAGCTGCATTGCAGGGTTGAAGAAGAAGACTCGGTCATCTCCAGTCCAGACTACACACCTATTTTAATTAATAAACTATACTTAGATAATCTCACGTACAAATGAAAACAAGGTATTAAACTTATTGCTAACTTAATGTTCTCCATAATCTTATATAGAAAGGTGAAATTCACCTCAGGACAATAGCCCTCATATTCAACTTAAGGACTCTATAGACATTTTTCCTCACGCTAATTGTCAGTGGTCGGAACAGTACAAACATACACATGCACTCAAGTATGAAAAAAACAAGGAAACAAAAAAAAAGACCCATGCAAAACAATGGTTCTTATAACAACTGAGGCCATGGTAAAAGGTTACGTTTCACATTTTCAAAATGTGCCAGTGCAGGTGGTGAGTGATAGAAATTTCAAGCTGTTTTGCATAGAAAATGCCTCCTCAACAGCCAGATATGACAGATTCGTGGATTTTACAGTTGGGTAGAAGGCAGCCACAGAATACTTATATGGATGCCTCTGACCAGAATTAAAGGTATCCTAAGCAGAATACCATTAGGGCGCCACAGCCATGGATCTCAGTCAAACCCATCTGAAGTTCCATGCTACAAAGACAGAAAGGGCTTGATCCAAAGTCCACTGAAATCAACAAACATCCTCCCACTGATTTCATTTGGCTTTGGATCAAATATGCACTGTGATCAAGCCATGCTATATAAACCAGAATTTTCTGACTTGTACCATTTAAATGTCAACCTCAGCATTGCATTAGCTTAGTTCCTTGCATTCAATTTTTTTAAACAGTAAAATAATAGGTATTATATCACAAGGATGGATAGTCAAGAAAATCTACATGTGTTTGACTAAACATACAGTTTTTACAGAAATCTAGGACATTCATCTGAAGTCTATACTTCACGCATACTTAAGAAAACTAATATACAACACATATGCACTGTGCCATTCTAAAATATATATAAAGGGCCAGCTCCTGACTTCCTTGAATCAGAACCACCTATCAGGAACTGAGTTTATTAATCCAAGCGTGCAACCATTTCACAGTTCTCAATGGCACAGGGAAATAGATCTTGCAGAAAGGCATGCTTAAAAAGAAATCTGTTCTGTGTAAAAGACTAAGACTATGAAAAGTGATATATAAATGCGAAGTACTATTACGGGATAATTTGAAGTTTTCTGTGAATTAATAGTAAGAGAGCACTATTGATTGCCTGTCCCCATAAGAAGAAATATATAACCTTTAGAGTGACCAAAGGGAGAGCGTATAGTACAGAAAACAGAGGCAAGAAGTGTAATATTGGATATGAAGTTAAAAGTAATTAAGAGGCTCTGTAAGTTATATGCATTCCCAAGGTAGAAGAGAAAGATGAAAGTGAACACAAAACTGTTGAATTCTCAATTATAATTAAATCTAATGTAAGTCCTCTATACCTTTGGAACTAAAATATATAGTGGGGACATGATAAATATTTTAATAATTTTCCTATTAGTATAATGTACAAATAATTTAACTCTGAAAACAGCATCCCAGAATGGCTGCCCTATTTTTTATGTGGTAATAATTTTGTACATGGTGTCTCAGAGCTAGTGTTCTCAGTTCTAACACAAATGCTGTTAATCAAATAAAAAATTACCAAGCAATAGATTTTGCCTCACAATAGATCAGGATAAAGTTGATGGAAGACTTTAGGAACAAGAAACCAAACTATCATAAATAGCACAGTCCTACTAGTGGACTTCATAAAAGCTGATGTTTAGGCAGAAGAAGGGAGTAATCAGTTAACTGATTTATTTAATAATATGGTTACATTTCTCCCTTTATCTAACTCTGCAGAAAATGGGCCAAATCATGTGAGATGGTGCATGCCTCTTGAAAAATGCTGAACACTCTCAACTATAGTTAGCTTTAGTGTCAATTGAGCTCATTCTGTCCTTTTGCAGAATTTGTCCCCATAGGAGTACTACATGGAGCTTATGGTGTGCTGCAAAAGCAGGAAGTCAATATATTATTAGTGCCACACTCATGCATTCATACACATTTAGGACAGTCTAAGTTCTCTGACAATTGCACATGTTGGCATCTCTGGCCAGGAGGAGATGAGAACAAGTCTATTTTCAAAAAAGCTGTTGATGCCGCTCTTTAATAATTTAATAGTGATTTCTCCCATGAACACGTACAAAGTGTCTGCTCTCACTTACAGTTTCTATCACTTTGGTGATAGAAGACCACATTTGAGGCTGAAAATGTATTCGTTATTTCAAAATGTACTTCTAAGCCATCGAGAGCCTCAGAATTTATCTAATAAAAACAAGGTGATTGCTAAAAGGGAAATGGTACATTTTCACACCTGATTGAAAGACAAAATAAACATCTCTGGAGGGCTATAAAAATATCTCCAAATGGCAGGTACCTCATGAAGCCTTTCATTTTTTCCATAACTATCCCAATTTGACATTTAATTTAAAATTAGTATCCCCTTTCCTCACATTATATGTTACCTATACATCTCTGGCATAATAAAAATTTCATTATACAAAAGGGAAAATATGGTATTTGGATTTCAGTCACAGATCACAAATTAAAAGTACAGATGATGCTATGATAAGCTTTTTATACTGAATTTATTTTCTAACTAAAATAATGACATTTAAATATATAACAAAATAACCTTAGTGTATCATATAACGTATTTATGTGGCACTTGGCCACTTAACTAATATTTCTGAGAATCTTTTTTGTCAAATAAACAAATTGGGCTAATTATTGCTCAGCTGTAATCTCTCCTTTTTATTTTAATTTATTCATCAGCTAGAGGCCAAGAAATGTTTATGAGTTGTGAAGTCCTTAAATTCTTTGGCTTTTTAGTCAGATATTAGTGTTCAGATCTCATTAATATATGATCTCCTCTGAGCAATAAATAATAGTCTGGTGCTTAAGCTGCCTCATGTGAGGCAGTCCTTTTGATAGCATCATGGGTCAATCAACCTGGGAAGAAGGAAAATGTAGAAGCACTCCCCTCCCTTTTGGCTCTCCTTTCTTCATCTTCCTCTTTGTCCCATGGTCTGCTGTACCCCACTGACTGTTTCTCCCATCTCTCTCTCTGCTCCCCTTCCATTTCAGGTCCTGAAAACCCTTCCTGAACTTAATGCACTGTTAATTGTCCTAATGAAATCAATACATCTACTCAGTGAATAAAGATAAGCCTTCTCAGTATTATGACCTTAGCAGCTAAACTTTACTTTTGTCCTCTTCCCATGGCAAATCCCATTCAGATTGGAAATTCTCTCTAGGATAAATGTAATGAAATTAAGGAAGCAAAAATCCTAGTTGAAAAAATTAGGCAAAAATTCTTAATAATAAAGAGTCTGGTAGGCTATGGAAAAGTCATCCATAGTGAGAGGTGATGGGAGTCTAACATGTTGGCGCCTTTTAGACTAGAAAAACCATTGGAAACATAAACATGGCATAGGGTAACAGGGGATGCATGATGGGGCCAAGCAGTAGTTTTCCATCTCTCATTAATATGGTATCTATGGAAAAGTAAATTAGTGGGCCATTTTAGTTGCAATGCATCACTGAAATAGTTATTGTTAACATTTAAATTGTTATTGGTTGGCTTCATGATTATCATCCCACTGGGACTGATAAAATAAGTTCTTATTTCTCAGAGCTATTTGTAATTGCTGTCTGAAGAAAAGGGAATATAGCCATGAATAGTTACAATTTGCTTTTTTTGAGGACATGAAACATGTCCTCCGTTTTCTGTGATTCCATGATTGATGAATTTCCCATAGGATTCAGCACTTGAAACAAAATTCTCTACCAAAATCTAAAGCTTTCATGAAAAGATTTAAGCTCAGGACTCACAGCTTATGTCCAATCTGTTTCACAGACAGCTACAGTGGCACAGGAGCCAGTAAACAGAGTTGTAAACAGGGGAGTTTGAGTGGGAGTTTGTAAGGGGAGTTTGGATTGTGGGACTCATTTGGGGTTTGTTTTTGCTGTGGGGGAGGTGTTTTGGTTTGTTTTTGTGTTCGCCTGACTAACAGGATTTAGGAGAGAAGGCTGGTAAACACAGAGGCAGTAGTGGCCATGACCCAAGCAGTAGAGGACACAAGGAGGATGATTGGATGTGGCAGCTGTGGTATGTACAGGGGGTACCTTTAAGGAGTTTTGTTTGAATGAAGTGCCGCCTGATAGAGCTGATGGAAGAAAAGATCTGAGGATTGGAGATGCAGGTGGAAACTCTGGTCAAGTTTAGAAGGGGGTTCGAGCAGATGATGGAGCAAAGGCATGAGGTGGCTGAAGGGGAAAGCTTAGACATGCAAATGGAAGCAGGATCAAAATGGACAGTGGAAGCATATGACTAAGAGAACCAGGCAGAGGAAAAGATGGGCCAGTGCAGGAGAAATAGAGCTCAAGAACAGGTGTGCGGAGTTGAAGAATGAAGAAGGGGCGCAGCAGGTAACCACTGAAGATAGAAGGGCAAGGAAGAAGAGAAGAGTGGTTAGTCCCTTAGATAAAGAGGAAGAGTCGATGGAGACAACACCAATAATGAGCACCAGGAGGATACTGGATGGGTTGAAGAGGATTACAAGGGAAAATAGAAGTGAAAAGAATTTGCAACTAGAGGAAACAAGAGATAGACCAGAGAATTTGACTGTCACCAGGAAAAGGCAGGTCTATGTGATTGGGGACTCCTTATTGAGAAGAATAGACAGGCCTGTAACTAGAGCTGATGCAGAAAATAGAAGGGTGTGCTGTCTGCCAGGTGCTAAGATACGGGATGTAGAAGTGAGGTTGAAGAGGAGCCTAAAGGGAGCAGGAAAGAATCCATTGATCATCCTTCATGTAGGAACAAATGATATGGCTAAAATCTCGCTGGAATGAATCAAGGGAGACTATGCCAAGCTGGGGAAGACTCTTAAGGAAATTGAGGCTCAGGTGATATTTAGTGTGATTCTGCCTGTTCCTGGAGAAGGGCAACTAAGGTGTGACACGATTATGATGCTCAATAGATGGCTCAGACAGTGGTGCTATAAG